TTTAAGTCAATTAATTGTGTACCTTTAATTGCCATTAATAATGTACTAATTGCCATTAATAATNTTATATGCAAAATGATTTTGTACACACAATAAAAAGAAGTCTGGATGTTTAGAAATCGAATGAAAACCTAAATAAAATGACACGACGAAATACCATTCTGGAATCCTGGGAACAAAAATGATCTATGTAACAATATCAGTTTTTAATATTACTTAATGGATCCATATAGGTCTTATATTGACAATGTGAAAGATGTCATTCCAATATAGCCATGAATTAAGTGTACCGTTCCTCCTACACTATAGTAGGTCCATGGTTGATTTATACATCATATCGTATTTCTATTACAGGTCCCGGATGTGTACTAATACGTACTCGTCAGGACAGCAGTATTGGTAGCCAAGGTACACTCCACAACATCCATCATTACAGTAGAACGACTCAGTCTTGTACACCAGTCTGTGGTACTTGTAACTGTACTCGTTGGAAGAGGAATAGCAATCGGATGTCATGGCTACTCCTGAAAGATACCATATGTATAATGTCGTAGATTCAATAGCATGTAATTAATAAATAACTGTCAATCCTACAAATAATACATGTTCTACTTGGCCGTCGGTACCATAACTTACAGAGTAGATTTGTGTACACTAAATGTATATAATGTTTAAAAAAAACGGCATTGCAAATGAGAACGCTTCCAAACATGTGCATTTTCAAATCATTCCTTAAATAGAATATCAAAATTGATCTGTTTTGACAAATTATAGGATTTCTAACTATTGTAAAAATCTTTTTTTTTTGTCAGTTAGATACGGGATTCTATCACCTAACACTTGTATCGTTTACACAGTGACATATATAGAACGGTATATAAAGTACTACACTGAACAGCCGTATCCACAATATTGATGGTGTAGGGTGTCATAAGTATGTACGACAGACTGACAGTAATTAGTGGACGTAAAACCATAACCTTACNTTATTAATAACCAATATTTAATGCACTTGTTTTCAGCCTTTTAATAGTCCTGACAATTCAAAACCACTAAATTTTTATAGCTCTCAAACTACTATTAAAATCTTTCATTTAATACTAATTAANCACCATAACCTTACAACACACTGATAGTTATGTAGACGCAAAACCATAACCTTACAACACACTGATAGTTATGTAGACGTAAAACCATAACCTTACAACACACTGATAGTTATGTAGACATAAAACNAGTATGCTTGCAGTAGTGTATATAGTTTGTACTTAATTTTAAACACAAACTTCAAGAAAAAGAAACTTTAACACATATTTAGTACCAATCATTCAATAATAAATCCACAAATTTCCATTATCCTTTAACCCTGTTTTGATTTTGATTTTTAGCAGTATAATTGTAAAGTCCTAAAACCTCTATTGATCTATAGAAACGTATGTAGGTCTTAAATTAATTTAACGTAGGAATAGATCCCTTTATTTTACACCTGTTTATAAAATATCTTATAACTATTAATAAAGAATTGAATTCATTTTCATTCTTTTCCAAGGTATAGCCGAATAACACATTTTCAGGCTGTCTGGATAGATCTATTTCCAAATTATCTTTTAAAAGTTGTAAGATTGATGACCCAAGGGAATGTACGTGGCAATATTTCCATATGTGCAATGAATTAGTTTCTCTAAACGTAAAACGTAAGACTTAAAATTATATCCGTACAACACATTGATAGTAATGTTTACATAATAATCTGTCTCAAATAAAAAAAGGAAGATGCATGTTTAAAATAAATATGACACCCAAAAAACTAAATCTACTAAAAATTACATATCTCGGATAAGATCGTTCCCAGCATCATAAATTTGAAATGATAAATGATAAATGAATACATGCAATACATACACCATCGTAAAGGGAAAATATTCTTTAGAATGAGCAGTGGAAACAAACTTACCCCAGATAAGTTATTTTGAGCAGTTTCGTAATTTTCAATAAAATATGTGCATATTATATCTCCAATTTGCATAAGAGGCAGATACCTGTGTGTAGAAGTTTAAAGAAAATACGTCTGGTTTATTACAGGGTTGGTAGTCGGTAAGTGTACCGAGGCGTATCGCCGATCAAAAACAAACCACATACGGAATTGTGATATATATATATAAACTGACATTAAAGTAGTGGTCGAACAGCTGCTGTAAAGGAATACTTAAGGATGCTGCAGGACACACATGTAAACATGTATAAAAAGTCATGGGCGCACCTGTATAACGACACACGACTATACAGTAATCATGGCTTTATGTAACAATTTCACACATATGTGTCATATTTTAAACGACTACAGTTTAATTACAATAACGGGTACATACAAGCCTGATACGAGACCATCTATGACGTCATCTGTTGTCCATCAAGTAATAAACAATATGGTGGTCCAATCACCTGACATAAGATATAGAACTGTTAGTAAATCTTACCTGTAGTGGACAGGAGTACCAACAGCATACCCAGTGTCGCCATCTTGAATCGTAGATGCCCTTGCTTTTTTTCTTTCTTTTTTTTTAAACTTTTACATATAGCTCATTGTCAAAGCTGCCTACGGTTGAGCGGGTACTTGCAAAATCCCTGGCAGTTAGGTGTGCAGAAATGACAGGAGTATTTTATATAAATACGCCGACTGCTCTATCAAGTTACCCGGTGCAGCCAAAATATAGGGGTTATATACTGACTGAAAAGAGTTACTGTGATATTTTTTTCTGAATGAAACATTAAAGACTACAATTAACTTCAACACAACGAGCTACCTGTGTGTTTGTGCTGTGGTAACAACTGCAGGTAACACAAAAAGGCTACTACAAAATTGTCAGCATGTATGCAATGTTCATATCGATAAAATCATGTTTAATTCAACTGTATTTGGCTTTTGTATAAAGCGTAAACATGTAAATATATCTGGGACTCGAGTTTTTTTGGGTTTTTTTTAACTTTTGGTTCAACATTGTGCACATCTGATTTGAAACAGTTTTCAGTTCATTAGCAGTGTAAAACAGAATAATATGTACCACAGAGAAAAAAAATATCGAATGCATTTTCCTTCGTTAAATATGAACAAGCAAGTTCCAAAGAGATGATTAAGCATGGTATTTAGCAAGTTATAATGATATATGCAGTTAATAATTTTCAAAAAAAACCCACGCAAAACTTGTATTAAATATTTAATTTAGAGTTAGAAATTATGTCTGTAAATGTGGAGATATGGATATGTTGGCCAATTTACCAACTTAATTTCATATTTGAGTAGTTGAGATTTTTAATCAAAATATTAGATGCTTTTAAGACTTATCATTTTATTATAAACTAGCTTGAAGTCTTGCGATTCAAAAGCATGTACATGTAGTTTTACAAACAAATGAACAAAGAAATTAAGAAAGATGATGATTTACACGTTACACCAAGTAGAATCCAGCAAATACTTAGGCTTAACATTACAAAATAACCTACGATGGGACAAAACATATTAACAACATCACAGCCAATGCCAATAGGTCCCTGGGTTTTCTAAAACGCAACTAAAAAATAAACTCACCACATATAAAAGAGCACGCATACAAAGCACTAGTCAGACCAAAACTTGAATACTGCTTTTCCATTTGGGATCCACACAACACAAACCAAATTAAACAAATAGAAAAAAAAAAACACAACGAAGAGCAGCACCCTACGTAAACAACAGATACCACAACACCAGCTCAGTATAGATTTATTGTGGGGCATTATTGGAACTGATGAAACAAATCGATCAGGAACGTTTTAACAACAGAAATAACGTCAAAAAATATATAATTTGCTCTTCGTTTATGCCGTTCCCCTCTGAACTATACGGTAGCGATACCATGAATTGATAAGCATATCAGATGTTCCTAATGATGAAACGGACCATTCAAGATCACCCGTATCTGCAGCAGGAGGTCGGCATGTTCTTGTTAAATAAATAAGCGAAATCTTAAATTTGATGTCTGCGTGATGAAATGTTCAGAAGCATTGTTCATTTTCCTCTGATTTACCAATACAGTACAAATTCAGTTTTAAAAGATACATCCAGTTGTAGGCTACGGTCACTGTTTAAAACTCTTGGAAGAAATTTACAACTTTTATTCTGCACAGCCAATACCAAACATTATTAATGCCTTAATGCCTTTTCTTTGATAAAATAATACCGAGTTTTATAATCGAAATTACAAAAAAATGTATAACACGTAGTGTCGGAACATTATTTATTATATAATATAAGGCTTCTGCAGTGCAATAAAGGGGTGCAATAAAATTGATATTGAACGTGTGCAATAAAGATGCAAATGAGCGCGCGACACCGTGGGAACTAGGTCGTATTCCTACGCACTACTACTACTACTACTACTATAGTATAGTACATTTTGGTTTACGGGGATCAGCGGAGCATCGCGATATGTGCTGGGGGGACGTTACACTACAAAACCACACTGACGGACATGAATATCTAGAGTTTACAGAAAGACAAACAAAAACCAGGACAGGGGAGAACACCCGTGATGTACGCAAAGTAAAACCAAAATTGTGGGCAAACACTGAAAATCCCGAAAGGTGTCCTGTTCATGTTTACAAATGCTATGCAGATATGAGACCTACGACTTACTGTAAAGGATCAGATCCATTTTATATAGCTACTACAACAAAAAGCTCACCTGGAAGTCATGAGACTTGGTTCAAGCGCCAACCCGTTGGTATCAACAAGCTAAAATCCATGATGCAACGTGCCATAAAGGGAGCAGGAATCCAAACTGACAAACACTTGTCAAATCACAGTGCGAGGAAATATCTTGTCCAGAAATTGAACGATAATAACATCCCCGCTAACCATATAATGCAAATTTCTGGTCACCGAAACATTTCTTCTATTAATAATTATTCACACATCAACACGAATCAACACAAAGAAATCTCCAAAATACTGCACGGAAATCCAACAGCACCTGAGACCGGATGCAACACAACATCACTGACACAACAATCAATGGCGTGTAACCAGTCAACTTCCTCTGTTGTCAGGGTCCAGGGCGGTTTCCAAAGTATCTTTTCAGGTGCTGTCACAGGAGGAAACATACAAGTTCATGTTTACCAAGGACCTCCTCTGAAAAAACGCGCCCGTGTTATAGAAAGTGACAGTGATTCTCAGTAGGCCTAATATCCAACACATGTGTTTTCGGTTTCCGACGACCTTCACAGTGCGCGCGCTCTTACACTGTTCATGACGTCACCGATGAAAAAAAACAGTTTTTTTCCGAAGCGAAAAAAAAGAAGTCATATTTTGTAAACTTTTATTATTTCAATTGTTATCACAATTAAAATGATCGTTAAAAGTAAAACTGTTGGCCATTTATTATTCTGATAAAATTCTGCGGACTACTTTTGTTAGCGGAACATGCTCTCAAATTAGTATATGTGATGCGTCCTTTCTCGTCGTCATTGCATATAGAGACGTTAGTATTGAAACCACTTATGTAGGTAGGTTTCTCGAATTATATAATAAATAGAATCTAACACTCGTGTTCATGTTATATTGAATTTATTGAACTCGTATATTAATTTCATATGAAATTAATATACTCGTTCAATAAATTCAATATAACATGAACACTCGTGCTAGATCCTCTATATATGTGACTTTAAAGCAGACCACTCTATGCTGATGACCGGTGTCCAGTCAGCCTATTTCCCCGCGACAGCTGTATTAGGATGTAGAAGCATATAAATGTTTGATGATACTCGAATTGATCTGCTGCCAAAATAGCATCATTCTGGACTGCAGTGTTAGTGTCAAAGTTCAGGATGACCACTTTCGGCCATATCGGATTTTTTTAAATTCGGCTCATAATACATTGGACAGGTTCTCGGTCCTCCAAGCATTTGTAAAATTTTCATGAAATACAAATCAGTTCTGAAGATTTATCACACGTAAACCACTAATGGTTCAAATTAATAATGGTGAAAATTTCTTATCGGAGTCGCCGTAAACAACTTATGAGGCGGTAATTGAAATCCAAGTATTCCTGTAATAGTTTTCGCACGGAAAGCTTTGTTCGATTGATGACAAATGTATCAATAACAAGTTTCAGGTCCCATATTCATGTAACCGTTCTCATGCTCAAACTGACGTTCTTAGAACTCTCTTAAATCATGTGACAAAAAAAAATCAACATTTTAAGTGGTGTAAGGCTTGTACGGTAATGACAAAATACTGTTTAATAAATTATAGCTGGAACAAAATATTAGGCTTAATCACATAATCTGATGGAACATGAGAACGGTTTGATTGTCTTTTTTATATGAAGAACAAGTCCCTCTCTGAAGGACATGCATCTTAACGTTAATTGATAGCGATCTATTTTTAGATTGATAATGATAATCTGTCCACGTGACCGTCAGAGTAATGCATATGATTAAAGTATGTTAAGTTTGCTAAAACCAAAACCTTTCGAGATTTATTGTCGAGGGAAGATAAATGCATAATTTCTATGCATGCATATTACCCTTGCTAGAAGAAACTCGACACGCTATATTTATTTTGATGAGTTGTAATAATATGTTTTTATATGGTTTTATTAGAAATCAAATTTACCTGTCTTCTTGATAGAACATAAACAACAAAACACAATATTAAAAATATATCTGATATTTTACTTGAAATATCGTAAATTTGATTTGCAATCGTAGGTATGTTTTGAACACAAACAATATACATATATAAACGATTCTGTTTCAGGATAACGTATTAGATAACATATACATAATAGATTATATTTAGTATAACCGACATCCTCTGAGATTCACATGAGAACACGTTGTATTATTGATTTACAGTTAGACTATATGAGGGCCCGCCTGTGAAGGTCAAAGGTCAACGAAACCACGGTAATGTAGAAACATAATGACGATATTTAAGTATTGCCTGTAGTTCTAGCTTTCCTTAAGGCGTCACTATTGCATTTCCTTTATATTCCATAGAGAATTCGAAAGGAATTGAGTAGTAGGTGAGTTAAATATTCTCCACGAAGAGTTGGCTGTCATCACAAAAAGTCAGCTGATTTATTTAGCACTGGAATAATTCGGAATACATTTCATTAATATCGTTGACACGAAAATGATTTCTATAAAATGGATAATGAAAACATGTTACTACACCTAAGTTGAGGCGAAAGTCTCGACAAAAACATAATAGATATTGCGGCAGTCAATATAAAATACTAAATATTTAAAAGAAAATAGAAAGAGACATTTCGGATCATCTCCTTAATGATTAAAGAAAATTAGCCTTAAAATAAATTCATGTTAAAAAATATCTTTTAAAGAAATTTTTGAAAGAAATCATTCAAAAACAGAAATATTGGACGACGTTATGTTAATAATTTGAGGCAGTGGATTACACAAGGCTAAAACGATTGAAGATCAGAAATCGGGTACAACATCAGCATCTCCCCTCCCGCTCATTCCATTCACATCTGTAAACGACCGACGGACTATACCATTTGATCTCGAGGTAACAGCAAGTACATCGCGAGACATGTGTGGAATGTAACACAACAAAAAGTGTGTTTCCTTTCAGAAAATGTATGAATATGTCAAATATTATTTGCAAATGATCTCGCACCAAAACAATGTGTACTGGTCAAGTCAGATTATTTGAGGACAGGAAATGGCGGAAAACTAAAAATACACATTAGATATACGCGTTACACCTGACTAAAATATTTCCGAAAAAAAATATTCGACGTTATATTTTGGTAAAAATCATCATAGTACTGACGAACTGATGAATTTTGATAAAAAAAATCATTATACTGAGATTCAAAATTAAATATAATGTAGTGAATGTACTTATTAAAAGGTCTTGAAATAGCCCGTGAAGTGTGCAAATGTATGAAGAGGACTGCAATGCATTACAGGGAAAAAACTAATGAACGTTTTGTCAACCACGCCCTCTGGTGCTTCACAACATTGTTATCATAACATATAGTAGTTCCTGTATCTAAACACATTAAATGGAATGTGGATAGCAGCATGTGAGATACGAATGAGCATGCTCGAAACACTGATTCGGTGCAATTACGAAAGCTAGTTTCTACGACACACATAAGATGTGCAAATATGACAGTGTGCATTTTACCCGACTGATGCTTCAAATTTTAGCATAAGATATGTAAAACATGGCACCCCTAGGGACAACTTGGTCGAGTGTCGTTAATGACATCGTAGGCATAAACTGAAGCTATAACCCTGACATTGTGCATATTATCTTTTCTTATCAAGGATGCGAGCCCTTCTGTTTTACCTTCGTCCTTGCTAATACCAAACACATACCGGAAGTCTTTTAATAAGAATGTTTAAATCAGGTCTCAGTAAATCCCATTATTCGTGAGCCTTAGTAACAGGCTCAAATATTACCCTCAATAATATTTTACATCACTCCCAGTCTGGTCTATTGTCTGACACTCCGTTTACCCTATATGACGTAGACTGGATTACTTGTATTACAATTTAGTACCAGTTTGCACCGCTAGGGGTTTCCTCAAGTGATACCTTTGCATTTCGGAGTGACGTAAACATGCAGGTAATCCTCGCTGTAGCTAGTGCTTTAATTAAAGTAGTAGTCATCTGTTTCTGGTTCGCCCACGCGCCTTGTACTCCGCCCAATACCTCGGTACACGAAGCCCTCACCACCCCCATATTCGCCCTCGTCTTTCTCCTTCACAGTCGCTCGGTGGGATTGCCGAAAATCGGTATCGCGAACAACAGTTGCACGCTGGGAACGGCGTGCACGAGCTGAGCCGTAACCATAGTCATCTTCCCTCACTAGTGTACGGCGCTGTACCGTTGGGCTTTGATCAATTTCAATGATCCTGGCCCTAGCGGGTTCCTCATACGTTCTGAATGCAGATTGACGAAGGCTACGTGCGTAGATATTTTCGGGCATCTGGACAGTTTCGACCATCCGAGCAGGCTCAGGTTCCACCTGGATCCGCCGTAATCTAGGTCGCTCCTGGTCTACGTACACCAGCTGCGGCTCCGGCGGAGGCTGGGGATGATCTACATAGACGATTTCTCTTTGTTGTGGAGGGGGTGCGGGGGGGTCGACATACACGATTTGGGGAGGGGGTGGTGAAGGTGGTGGTGGTTGGGGATTCATCATAACGATAGGAGCGGGAGGAGTTCTGGGCCGTTGTGGCGCTGGGGGATCAATCATGACTACGGGGGCGGGGGGAGTCGGTATTCTCGGTAACTTTGGCGCTTGGACGTGGATAATCGGGGTAGGAGCCCTTGGGATTTCTGGCAATTCTGGTGGTTCGACATATACAACTGGCGCTGGAGGTGTCGGAATCCGAGGAAGCTTTGGTGCATCAACATGTATAACTGGAGCTGGTGGCGTTTTTGGTCTGGGAATTGGAGGCAGGGAAAGCTTAACAATTGGAGGTGGTGGAGTTTCTGGTCTTGGTAGTGGCGGTACCTCCACGTAAAGAGTCTGGCGTGGCTGTGGAGGAGGCTGTGGCACTTCCATAAACACTATCTTTGGAGGAAGTGGGGGAGGAGGAGGTCTTATCACTGGGACAATTTGAATAGCCCGGGGAGGGGGAGGCGGCTGAAGTATTACTTCCTGTCGCATTGGTGGCGGCATAAACATAGGCGGTGGTAGCATCAACATTTGTTTTTGTGGCGCCTCCATCGTCTGCTGTGGTTCCATCATCGGTTCAATGGCCGGTAGTGGCTCCATTCTTGGCGGCATCGGTTCCATTTCCTGTTCAGGCACTTCAACAATGACCTCCTCCTTAATCACTGAAACAGATATTACCATGTGTGATAAAACAAAATTAACATAGCAAGGCAAGCATTTGATGTACAACAACACGTTGGGTTAGGAAGGGATATGGTAACATATGGAGCGATATGTATCTAAGAATTGTCAAAGACATTCACTCTGTTAATGTTATCAGTAGGCGGATCGGAAAAAGAAATGAATGACATAATGACCAAGTGCCAATGCTCATGTTCTGATTATCAACCAATATTACTACTCTGGTTTCTGAGAGAAAATTTCATATTAGATATTATCTTCCTGACTAATTAAGCACATTTATTACCGACTCCGAAACTGATAATGGTCTAATAATAGGCAAAAAAAGATGACGTTTCCCGGAATATTTAATTAATGCCATGAAACTCCTGACATCTCAGAAATTTAAATCAATAAATACCTTGTTTGGTCTCTTTTGCATTAATTAGGGAATTATCTATATGAATACGACCGCACTATATGCAAGCGGTCACGCATGGGAGTATGTACCTTGTCGTCGCCAGCAGGTGATATAAACGAGAAGAACGATGACAACAATGGCTCCAATCAGGCAGAGGATGCCAACTAAAATGGCGGCAATTCCGGCGGGCGAGCTATGGATGACAAATAGCAAAATATGCTAGGCGTGCAATCACTAAATTAAACAAGAGGCCCGGCCTGTATTGCTCACCTTAATATGTTTAAAATAATTGGTATGAAGGAGCTGCTGTTAGTACATATGAAATTTCAGAAAGATCCATCCAGTACTTGAGATATAGCGAGAACAAACTTCAAACAGAGCCCCTGCCCTATGCAACCTAGTGGGATCATACCCACCAATTATACAAAATTGAGTCCCCTTGACCCAAGGATGCTCCAGACTAAATAAGGATAAAATCCCCTAATCCCGATGGTCGAAGAAGGATTTTAAAGGTTTTACCTCTATTTCTCGAATTGGGCCCCGCACTTCTGCCCCCTGGGAGACCACATCCACTGCTTATACAAAATAGAGTCTCCTTGGCCCATTGATGCTCCAGACTAAATTAGGATAAAATCCCTTAATCTCTATGGTAGAAGGATTTTAAAGGTTTTGCCTCTATTTCTCATATTGGGCCCCGCCTCTCTGTCTCCAGGGGGTCAGACACACCGTTTATACAAAATTGTTTCCCCTTCACCCAAGGGTGCTTCATACCAATTTGGACAAAAGCCTGTCATTCCTACCGAAGAAGGATTTCGAAGAATTTACTATGTTTCCCCTATTGGGCCCCTCCCTTCTGCCGCCAGGGGGGTCACACTCGCTGATTATACGAAATTGAGTCCCTTTTGCCTAAGGATGCTCCAGACTAAATTAGGATAATATCCCTTACTCCCTATGGTAGAAGAAGGATTATAAAGGTTTTACCTATATTTCCCCTATTGGGCCCCGTCCCTCAAGTCCCAGGGGGCCACACCCACCGTTTAAATAAAATTGGTTCCCCTTTACCCAAGGATGTTCCACACCAAATATGGACCAAATCCTTTCATTCCTACAGAAGAAGAAGGATTTTAAAGAATAATTTGCTATGTTTCCCCTATTGCGCCCCGCCTCTCAGGCCCCTGGGGGCCAGACCCCCGGTTTATACAAAATTGGTTCCCCTTCACCCAAGGATGCTTCAGAACAAATATGGAACAAATCCTTTCATTCCTACAGAAGAAGAAGGATTTTAAAGAATTTGCTATATTTCCCCTATTTGGTCACGCCCCTAAGCCCCCAGGGGGGCCAGACCCACCGTCTATATACAATTGGTTTCCCTTCTCCCAAGAATACTTCAGAACAAATATGGAACAAATCCTTTCATTCCTACAGAAGTAGATTGATTTTAAAGAATTTGCTATATTTCCCCTATTGGGCCCCGCCCCTCAGCTCCCAGGGGGCCAGACCCACCATTTATACAAAATTTGTTCCCCTTCCCACAAGGATGCTTCTGACCAAATTTGGTCAAAATCAGCTAAGTCGTTCATGACTAGTAGCGTTTTAAAGGAAAAATTGACGGACGAACGGACGACGGACGCTGCGGTAGACCAGGTGAGCTAATAAATGGTAGGTGAATTAAAAACTATATGTTAGAACATTTGCTTTTTTTGTTTGTTTGTTTCGGGTTTAACCTACTCGCGACAATCTCTGTATGGGTTATACCCCAAGATTTTAAATAGGCCGCACATATCTCATACATGTCATCTGTCAATCTCAAAGTGAATAAGTTTGATAAATACATGTACTTACAAACTGTTACAGCAGTACTCGTTGGGGGAATCCCCGCAGCAGATATACTCGCCATAGCAGACTCTGGGAGCGGTTGTCGATATTGGAACATTTGCGGAGGTATAGGTCAGGTACGTCACAGTCCCACACTCGACGTCGGCTTGCACCCCAACTGGAACAGACAGACGATGCATAGATGTACTTACAACGTATCAAAAGTTACAAATTTCCTACATTCCAGTCAATACTTTGGCAGAATGATTTTTCATGTTTGCATTTTAGGCTTTCCAAAATGTAGGTACATATGCAGGTTGATATTTTTATTTTTTGACAAGGAATACATATATAGGGAGAAAAATTACGCTTCAAACTGTATTTCCCATCTCATTCACAGTTTGATACTGATGGTGTCAACTTTGCAAAAGTATGCTATTCTGCTCACTTTTTGACCTTCATTCCAACTACAAGACAAAACCTCTATTTTCTCTACAGAAGCTTTCGCCATCGGTTTTGACCTCAACCCTAACGGGGGTATTAACCAGACACTCATTTCCTCCGACTCTCTATATATGTCCTACAGTTACCAACCGACTCTCTGTATCTGTCCTACAGTAACCAACCGACTCTCTTTATGTGTCCTACAGTCACGAGCCGACTCTGTATATCTGTCCTACAGTTACGAGCCGACTCTGTATATCTGTCCTACAGTTACGAGCCGACTCTCCATATCTGTTCTATAGTTATGAGCCGACTCTCCATATCTGTCCTACAGATACGAGCCGACTCTCTATATCTGTCCTTCAGTTACCAACCGACTCTCTTTATGTGTCCTACAGTCACGAGCCAACACTGTATATCTGTCCTACAGTCACGAGCCGACTCTGTATATCTGTCTCACAGTTACGAGCCGACTCTGTATATCTGTCCTACAGTTTCGAGCCGACTCTGTATATCTGTCCTACAGTTACGAGCCGACTCTCTATATCGGTCCTACAGTTCCGAGCCGACTCTCTATATCGGTCCTACAGTTACGAGCCGACTCTCTATATCGGTCCTACAGTCACGAGCCGACTCTCTATATCTGTCCTACAGTCACGAGCCGACTCTCTATATCTGTCCTCCAGTTACGAGCCGACTCTGTATATCTGTCCTACAGTTACGAGACGACTCTCTATATCGGTCCTACAGTTACGAGCCGACTCTGTATATCGGTCCTACAGTCACGAGCCGACTCTGTATATATGTCCTACAGTTACGAGCCGACTCTCTATATCGGTCCTACAGTTACGAGCAGACTCTCTATATCGGTCCTACAGTTACGAGCCGACTCTGTATATCTGTCCTACAGTCACGAGCCGACTCTCTATATATGTCCTACAGTTACGAACCGACTCTGTATATCTGTCCTACAGTTACGAGCCGACTCAGTATATCTGTCCTACAGTTACGAGCCGACTCTGTATATCGGTCCTACAGTCACGAGCCGACTCTGTATATATGTCCTACAGTTACGAGCCGACTCTCTATATCGGTCCTACAGTCACGAGCCGACTCTGTTTATCTGTCCTACAGTTACGAGCCGACTCTCTATATCGGTCCTACAGTTACGAGCAGACTCTCTATATCGGTCCTACAGTTACGAGCCGACTCTGTATATCGGTCCTACAGTCACGAGCCGACTCTGTATATCTGTCTCACAGTTACGAGCCGACTCTGTATATCTGTCCTACAGTTCCGAGCCGACTCTCCATATCTGTCCTACAGTTACGAGCCGACTCTCTATATCTGTCCTCCAGTTACGAGCCGACTCTGTATATCTGTCCTACAGTCACGAGCCGACTCTGTATATCTGTCTCACAGTTACGAGCCGACTCTGTATATCTGTCCTACAGTCACGAGCCGACTCTGTATATCTGTCCTACAGTCACGAGCCGACTCTCTATATATGTCCTACAGTTACGAACCGACTCTGTATATCTGTCCTACAGTTACGAGCCGAGTCTCTATATCGGTCCTACAGTTACGAGCCGACTCTGTATATCGGTCCTACAGTCACGAGCCGACTCTGTATATATGTCCTACAGTTACGAGCCGACTCTCTATATCGGTCCTACAGTCACGAGCCGACTCTGTTTATCTGTCCTACAGTTACGAGCCGACTCTCTATATCGGTCCTACAGTTACGAGCCGACTCTCTATATCGGTCCTACAGTCACGAGCCGACTCTCTATATCGGTCCTACAGTCACGAGCCGACTCTCTATATCTGTCCTACAGTTACGAACCGACTCTGTATATCTGTCCTACAGTTACGAGCAGACTCTCTATATCGGTCCTACAGTTACGAGCCGACTCTCTATATCTGTCCTACAGTTACGAGCCGACTCTCCATATCTGTCCTACAGTTACGAGCCGACTCTCTATATCTGTTCTACAGTTACGAGCCGACTCTCCATAGCTGTTCTATAGTTACGAGCCGTCTCTGTATATCTGTTCTATAGTTATGAGCCGACTCTCCACATCTGTCCTACAGTCACGAGATCCTAGAAACACACTGAAATAAAGTTTTACAACTTTTATTAATCACTCTTGTTGGCCCAGATGTTAGCGCGCGGGTGGTTATTATGGGGGAGGAAATCGGAGTACCCGGAGAAAACCCACGTGGTAGGGCAAGTGGCCCTATGCCTTTGCACGTCCAATCAGGGAGTCGAACCCCGGCCGCCGTGGTGAAAAGCAGGGGCGCCATCCACTATGCCACCCGATCATCTTTGCCTTTGTTTAGAGATAACTTTGAAGAATGAACGGTGGAAAGGGAAAAAACTAAAGCGTATGACAAGCTTAATCACGTATTCCTGGTAGTGAGATAAAAATATCTACCATTCGTTTCCATGTCATATTATATCGTCATATATCTCAGGAGATAAAATGAACATTAATCTCGACACGGAGCAGATTCTCACTCACATGACAAGCTTTTTAGTAGAGACTATATAGCCATAGATCTAAAATTCTGTCGGAATTATGCTTGAAATCGCATCAGTGATATAACTATTCGTTTGTGGGAGAATATTGTGATGCCCGATTATTATAATTAACTAAAATGTGAATTTTGACACGCTAAAAATAGCACACACGCCAATTTACAGCGTGTGTAACATAGCATGTAGGTGAGCCCAGAAAGTTGTAGATGTACGGCCAAAAAGGGAGGCGGGGCATCCGTGTCTTACACTCATTTCTATAGTTTTGAAATTGCAAGGTCTCTTTGTTTCCGGGACCTGACAACAGGATTCAACAGTTTCGAGCACTTCGGTCATATGCCCAGAGAACTTCGTGGACCTTGGCCATAATAATGATGATATGTCGTCATTATTATTTCTAAATCAGCTTACAAGATAGTGAAATTAGACCTAACGATGTTAGGTTTTGTATAATTTTATTTTTTCAAATGCTGAAGTGGTGGGTCCGACGTAAACCGTAAAAATCAGTAGATATTACACAGCGAGTAAACGATACGTATAGATTATAATGGGTTATGGTATGTATTTAGGATTTGTGTCGTTGAGTCTCTTAAAATCGTAAAAATAATCCACCCAGCGTCGCTCCAGCTTAATTTGCTTATGGATAGTATAAAATAGGTGGATAATTAGGGTACTTGTCAACAAGGGAAATAGAAAACACTGGCTGAAAAGAAGGAAAACTATGGTATGTGTTAACCCATGCATGACAAGTAACATCGAGGCCATGACTTTTCATTCTTTACCGCAGAAGGCGGTAGGCGTGGCTGTGTAAGTGAACATGTCTGCCTGGTTTAGGGTGGAGTATACACATGTGTAATACCGTGTAATCGTCTGACGGTTATATGTCGTACTATCAATTGTTGTATGCCACTTTTTCGTTCATTCATTCATTCTTTAATTCCCTTTGAAAGAGAAACAAATAAATGCAATAAATACGGATAGGAAAAAAAATGATATTTAGCACTTGTTTTGGTTAAAGATTCATCGCGTACGTACGCGATCGCCTTACGATGTACGTTTCCCATCCTGTCGTCTGTTGATAGGTAATTATGTGACGCATCCGAAACAGTTTGTCGTCCTCTATATCCGGGTGTTAACGTCCAAATAAAAGTTGTACGAATTCTTCTTCTGTTATATTGTCCATAGTCAGGAAGGATTCTATGCCACATCAGAGACGTATATATTACACATATACCTCTCTGGCCACACATATCTAGTACTTCCGTCGTGAAAATGTCTGTTGTGGAATGGGTGACGTCACACTGAGTTACGTAATGGTGAATGTATTACAATTTTGTTGTTCGGTTTGCGGGGCGTAAGTAATCAATTTTGACACAAATTGGACACATGCTACAAAGTTTGCCGTAGTTTCTGGTAGGGGGCATAAATATGTGGATACGGTCAAACTGCCAGGTCGTTATTCATTCTTTCACGCTACAGTCTAGTTTCTACCCTTCTGATGGCGTGATTTATACACAATGCCCATGCTTGTTTGGAGGGAAAGTAGGTTCGAGTAGTCACATAATGTGAGAGCACGGACTTAGATAGCATCTAATCTAATTCCGTGGTGAGAGTAAAGTCCATTAGGTCGTACGTTTTCAGTATTTCATAACCGTCCGGTATGCAACCTTTTTGACGAGGAGTATCCTTATAAAGATAGGAATATAAACGTACCAAAAATACTTTCTTGGCAAGAGTTTCATTTGGGAGTTTAATATATTAGTCAGTGATGGAACTGTAGCTACGAAATAGACCAATCATGCTCTCCGCTATGTCCGAGCGAGTTCAAATATGTTGACTTTCTGGTTCAATATGTCACATTAGAAATCAGTATAAAGATGACCTACTCATGAATGAAATCAAAATCTAATTAAATGAAATTTGTGTTTCCACCCTGCCATACCCAATAATTAACGTGAGCACTAATACTCTCACTGCTGGATCTACGAATTGTCATGTTCAGTGTACGCAACCATCATGGCATTTGTCTGGTTCAAAAACAAAAGGAACAGGAAAGTCTATATCAAAACGCATACCGTGCATGTTTCCTGTACAGGTTAGCGACGTGTGACGTCAGATATTATTCTAATGACATAATTATCAATTGTTACGTTGTCATTGTTCTCGTATAATCTTTAGCATTGTTTAGAATTCATTGTTAGGGTAAAATATGCGGTGATAATTTGTCCACTTGTCACATTTACTATAAACCGATCGACCTCTTTTAATCCGACCGAAATCAGAGTCTATACAATCTACCGTATATCGTATAGAGGACTTGAGTTAAGGCGTTTGTTCGAAAAAAATACTATGTTCACTAATGATAGGGTTAAGCTTACCAGACTCGGTCAGCAGACCGTTCACATTGCTGGGCACAACAACGAAAGCTTCAACGTAATTCGTAATTACAACACCTATTGGACAGGACAATACTCCGTGTGGTAGTGCTACGGTTTTCCATTGAAAGTCGGGGTGTGGTATGTCAAACGTGTAGGGGTGTCGACTGTCGTATTGAGCTATAGGGCCCAGATTAGCCACAAACAGCTCTAATTACACAATCGGTCGGGGAAGGTCTTTGCCGAGTAAATCCTTTCTCGGTGTGTCTCTCGCTTTACGACTCACTAAACTGTTGTTGGGTAGTAGGATTCTGTCGTACACATGTACATAATCCAGTGTTTAGTTCATGTTTTTCTTACTATTTATAAAATACGTTTTAAATAGTTTTAACAACGGGTTGTGTTTGGTGGTATGGAACCCTGGGTTGGTATAGAACATATGGTGTTATAAGTGTGTGGAATGGGGGATTGGGTGTTGATATGAAGATAACGGGGTGATCCCCGGGATGACGTGGAGAAGTGGCGGGGGACATGGATCGGAGCGGGAAGTTAGGGGCTGTGGGGTGGGTTGGTAGGAAAAAGGAAGGGGACTTGGTGAGCGGTGGAAAGGGGGATGGGGACGAAGGGCTGTGATGGTGGGTTGGAGGGAAGAATGTGGAGGAGACTGGGTGGGCGGTGGAAAGGGGGATGGGGAAAGGGCTGTGGTGGTGGGTTGGAGGGAAGAATATGGAGGAGACTGGGTGGGCGGTGGAAAGGGGAGGGGGACGAAGGGCTGTGCTGGTGGGTTGGAAAGGAAGAATGTGGAGGAGACTGGGTGGCCAGTGGAAAGAGAGAGGAGGGTGGTCAGGAGTAAGGGAAGGGTAATATCATTTTTCGGATTGTTCGCCAATAAACAGATCGTTTGAAGTACAGTTACACAGAACACAAATCACATAGTTGGAAGATAACAAAATGATTTACAATAAATGGGTAAAAATAGGGTTTGGATTGGAATGTTGTCCCCAGTTAGGAGATAAGTTCGAAAACCTGTAACAGATGTTTTTTCCACAGATCAAGTCTCAATGTTAATAAAAGGTCTCTTTAGTGACAGTAGGCGGTTAAGCGTTAAGGAATGTCACACCATCATACACGTTGCCATATTAACAATGCATCTGTGCTAACACAGTGTAATATAATGTTATAGTCAACTAGGTCACACAGAACGGGTATCTACCCGGGTACTGTTTGATGGAATACACGTATATATATAGAACGTACAATATCAGTATATAAATAGTTGGAGACGTTGCAATAGTCAAATGGAGTATCAAACCACTACCGTATAGTTGAGGTATATTTATACGGACGGTTACAGTGACACGGCTGTATCGTCTGAGATTAGGTATATATCATCCTTAAGGATCAAGTGACAGACATTTTTAATGACGAGCCGCGGCCGTAAACGACACACGAATTAACACATCTCAGAAAACATAAACCGTCCTTAAAATTCTGGTATAAGGTGTGAGTATGTATTTGCACAGTCATTTTTGATATACAAACGACAATCTTCATAACCACAGCAAAACACTTAAGAAGTAAAAGATTTGTTTACGTTTTAACCATCAGTGGTTTAACGTTATATGACTTGCATACGTATTTAGATATAATTAATTAGTCTTACCTGCAGCGAGTACGAGAATAAGGGCGAGGGTAGCCCCTCCCCTGTCCGGCATAGTGGTCATGTGTTTCCGGAAGACCAGCGTATCCTCACGTCCACCCGATCAGCTTAGCTTATCACACCCTCCTCCAGTGTAGGGACGTCACGCCTCACGTCACAAATGTTAGAACAGGTTTGCCGGCCTAACCCACTCACGTCACGCTCGAGTGCCCTGGGGTGTACACCCTGGCCTACCGACCATATATATTCTTTTGTATGTATCTCAATTGTGTTGTAACTGAACTTTAATTACCCCGGTTACAATTTCCCCTCATTGTTCTGATGTTATGTTTACGTTTAATTTCTAAACTGAATAATCGTCTATATCACAGATCTACAATTCAGTGAAGAACGAAGACACAAAATATGTATAGACGAAGAAAATATATGTATCCATTTAAGGCAATTAAACCCCTGTATATAGGAAACGTTGTTTATGCAAATGGATGTACATTTGAAGTTATGAGTGTATGTCGGAACATTTTTTAATACTGAAACTCAATTGTCTGTTTTTGACTCATATCTTAATAGTATATTAAGCTATGGTGCGGGAATATTGTGTTTTCATTACGCCCCTGATGTCGATAAATAACATACTATGTTTTGTAAAAGATTGCTTGGCGTACGTAAAACTGTGTGTAGTGCCATGGTGTACTTCGAACTTGGTAGGTATCCTTTATCATTAGTAAAGAAATTCATAATTTTGAAGCATTGGATGAAATTAAGAAAAAACAAATCTGATAATTGTATTTTAAAAGCATGTTGCAAANATGGTAGAGAATAAGGATAAATGGATGATGAACATCAAAGATGAGTTATACATGATAGGCCTAGAGTATATTTGGGAATATGATACTAACGACAACAAGTTCTATTCATTAATTGAAGACATATTAATTGATATTTTTAGAGATTAATGTGCAGAAAAAACCCCAGAATATCCTCAAAAGCAAATGTTTATCGAAATCTTTAAGATAATTTTGATCTACAAAACTACCTCCATTTAAGGCATTTAAGCCCTTGTATATAGGAAACGTTGTTAATGTAAATGGCTGTAAATTAGACACATTTGTATTATCAAAAAAGTGGTCCTCCGATGATAAATAAGCTGGATTTGTCTACATTGGACTAAAGTACAAGTGCAATATCTGGAGGCAGTGATATGAACGGGATTTCACTCTGTCATTTAACGTGTTAGCAT